TGCTGTTCTTGCTGGAAAGAGGAAATCTCTTGGCTTCAGAGGGCATGGTGAGAGTGCCTGACCCAGGTGATGTGAGGAACATCCAGGCTCTCATCCTAGAAAGGAGTTGTGAAAATTGAGCTTTTTCTATTGGTTTCTCCTCCAGCTTTAGAGCTTCCGCTGAAGCAAATATATATATATATTTTTTTTTTTTTAGGCTGCTGTGATTTGGAAGATACATAAATACAAAAGGATGCAGACAGATTTTTGGCCAGCTTGGCATAGTAGCTTATGGGTCTGCCCTTCAGTAGGGAGAGGAGGGGTGTGTTTGTGCCTTAAGGTATAGATTTCTGTATCAACCCTGTGTAGTAGCTACCTTGATAAAACAGTAGTGGAAACAAGCTGTAGTCATGACTTGGGAAACACAGCAGTGTCATTCCAGAAGTGTAAGTATCCTGTTTTATCAGACACGGCTGATTAGAAATAAAAAAAAAACAACCCTGGCCCTTCTATTTTGTGAGTTTAAGGGTGGAATAACAGTATAAAAAGCAGTGCTGGTAGTTGTTTCAGCGCTGACCCGTTCCTGGCAGAATTATCTCTTATCAGCAATTCAAAACCACACATTTGGGATTGAAAACCTTTTATGAAAACCTCCGTGAACTTCTGAAGAGTCATTGTCTCTAAAGATAAAATTAGAAAGCTTGATAACTCCAAGGGTGGAGGAAAGCAAACAGAATTATGCTGGAATTAAGTCTAGGGGAGTTATCAGTGACTTCACCTTTTAACAACTATTTTTGGTGTTTTTAAATATTGAAGAAGTGAACCTGCAGCTGCCACAGTTCTCCGCTTGCCAGCACTGAAATGTTGCAGAAAGAAGGTAGTCTGTGGGTGGGGACTGGGCTCTGCTTCATCTTCAAAGCAATTTCTGCTGGGAAGCCTTGTTCTAATTCTAGGAATGAAATTGAAATGTGCTGCTGACGTGCGGGGAAGACACTCTCACAGTTCTTATTTCTTAAGGTTCCCAGCAAAGCGTGCGTGGGGTGGGGGCTTTTTTTTCTTCATTTCAGGTAAGGTCCATTACTAACACCTTTTTTTTTTTTAAAATGGAAATTCTCTCCCCCACTGCCCCAAAACTGGGAGGCAGGTGGCACAGCGATTCAGGTGGAATTAGCAGGACTCCTTTATAGCTGTCTGAAGTCTGGTCAGGTGGAGTTAGCAGGACTCCTTTATAGCTGTCTGAAGTTACTAAATGAAGGTTTTTCTTTAAATCTGGATCCATTAAAGCAGCGCAATCAACTGCACGCTGAATTCAAATGAGGCAATTATTCTGGCACTAAAACTTCTGACTAAGGCATAATTTTGTTATGTAAATTAGAACTTTTCAACCTTAAATGGTATTGTTGGCCGAGGCAGAGACTAACTGAAACGCAGGAGGAAATATAACCTTAAACAAGAAATCCGTAAGAGGTGAGGCAGAGCTCTGCCCTTTTGTCTTTCTCCGTAGACCAGAAATAGCTGGGAGCAGCTGAACCAACTTTGCTGGCTGAACGTGTCCCCGGAGCCTGGTGGGGTAACCAGTTTGGTCCTGTTCTCCTTCGTGTCATACCTGGGCTCACCTTCGTTTGCAGCTTCTCTTAATGAAGGCTGGTTGAAGCGATTGTCCCGCTGGATTCCTCAAAACTGCTCGAAGAAAAAGCCTTTTCAAATCCCCGTCCAAGCTCATCTTTCAAACACCCTGGCATGAAAACTCATGAATGAAATTTGATCTTCTGCTCCCCGGCTCGTGAGATTTCGACGTGCAAAGTCGTGTAGTTAATTGTATTCACCTCTTCTCCCCGGGGTAGGGTGGGAGGCAGCCACGGCTGCTTTTTTCTCTCTCTCTCTCTAGTTGGAAAAACATGGCTCAAAAATGCCCTTCTGGAGGGCTGCAGGCACCGTTCCCTGCAGCAGCTTCACTGCAGTGCTTCACCTCCTGCTCTCCTGGGCCGAGCGCGTCGGTGGCCTGACCCTGCTTAGCTATAAACTGCCACCCAGATGAGGCAGACCCTCTGGAAAATGAGGCTGAAACAAATTACAGCAGCCTTGCTTGCCCCTTCTCTCTTTATTCATCCATTTCGGCGCCCTGAAGGTCCTATTTTTATCACATTATTTTAGTTTTTTAGCATCCAACTGAGAAGGCAAACAAAATAGCTCAGTTGCATTTTGCAGAGGAGGCTAAATTGGGAGGTGACCCAGTTCCAACAAGAGCTGGAATCGGCAGGCAGGAGGCACAGGGAGGGAATTAACCCAGGATCTAGGCAGGCCTATCTGCAGTGTGGGGAGCTCTCTTATCCCCACAGTCTGAAGGTGAAGCACAGATGGTTTTAGCACTGTCTGGTTGGAAGAGGGAGGTGATGATCTTATAAAATCAGGAGGGGAGAGAAAATAACAGCATCCTTTGAAGTGCCTCCTGGCCTTCAAAGCATTGCAGGGGACCAAAGGGTCCCCTAGGTTTTATGCACACTTGTAGAAAGGTGGGCTAAGCCCCTCTTTCTTGTACCTCCCCAAAACTTCTCTGCCCACACTTGGCATCATAGAATGTGTTGGGTTGGAAGGGACCTTTCAAGGTGATCTGGTCTAACGCCCCTGCAGTGAACAGGGACATCTTTAACTAGATCAGGTTGCTCAGAGCCTCATCAAGCCTAACTTGAATGTCTCTAGGGATGGGGCATCTCCCACCTCTCTGGGCAACCTGTTCCAGTGTCTCATCACCCTCATTGTGAGGAACTTCTTCCTAGTGTCTAATCTGAACCTATCCTGCTGTAATTTAAAACCATTGCTCCTTGTCCTATTGCTACTTGCCCTTGCAAACTTCCCCAGCTGTCCTGTAGGGACTGGAAGGGGCTCTAAGGTCTCCCCGGAGCCTTTTCTTCTCCAGGCTGAACCCCCCCAACTCTCTCAGCCTGTCCTCACAGCAGAGGGGCTCCAGCCGTTTGATCATACTTGTGGCCTCCTCTGGACCCACTCCAACAGGTCCATGTCCTTCTTGTGCTTAGGGCTCCAGAGCTGGACGCTACTCCAGGTGGGGTCTCATGAGAACAGAGTAGAGGGGGAGAAATACTTCTCTTGATCTGCTGGCCACTTGTTGCCCATCTCCTTGCTACTTATCACTAGCCTCAGAAGAAAGCAGTGGTTAAGCAGCATGGCTGCTTCTAGGGCAGGAGGCTTCCTCTGGTGCCTGGCTGAGGTGTTGCCCTTGTGCATGTTGTGTTGGCAGCTGGAAGTGGAGCTTCTTCCTTTCAAAGCCTTCCCTCAGCTGGCTCCAGTACTCTCTGTCTCAACACTGTGTCCTATCGTTGGTTACTCTGGAGGGTCTACAGCCCTGGCTCGTCCATGGGCCACAGTCACTTGGAAGGTGCACTCCAGGTTGCTCTCCATGTGTGTTCTTGGTCAGCATCAGCTGTTAGGACTTCCTTCCTTCCCTCCTGTGCAATCTGGTGGGTCTGCTCGAGGGGTGGGTGAGCTGGGTGCCCCCCTCCTTGTGTGCCAACACCCGGGGTCCCCTGGTTAACATCAGTGAGGGCATCTCGAGGTGTGTTTGTGTCCCCATCACGCTGTGACATGGCAGGGGAGAGCCCAGCTGGACACTGTCCGATACAAGCCTATCGTCTGTATTAACTGCAGGTCTTGAAGCTAGAAATTTGTCCGACTTTATAGATGTTACGGCTTGAGGTTTTTAATTAAAAACTATTTTTAGGCTAGAAATGCAATACCGAAGCGACTGTTTTGGTGGTGGCTGTCAAGGGAACCATGCTCAGTGTCTGAATGTGTCCCTTTTGGCTCGTGATAAATGTAGCACTGAACCTGCTGGTCTTAAAATTGCCAAGTGTGGATTATCCCTGTCTCAAAAAGGAGGATTTTTAATGTAAGAGTTCAAAGATTACCATGGAAACTCCATCTAGAGTTAGTGCTGCGATACGCTGATGCGATACTCCTGGGAGAAGAGCCTGAAGTCTCCTGATAATTGCATCCTCTGTGGCAATTGGTGAGCTTGGAACTGAAGATGAGTGCGAAGGTGTAAGAGGAAGGGAGGAGTTGGGTGACGGGGACCGTGGCAGCGGCGGTGCTGCTGCTGGAATGTCACCAGCATCCAAGTGTCTCTCCTTCGCGGCTCTTCAGTTGTGAATCATAAAAGCACGGCCTTGAAAGTCATCGTGTTCAGCTTCTGAGCAGTTGAGATGAACAGTTCTGATGGTGATGGCTTCTGTCACCTCTTGGGGTGATGGTGGCACCTGATGCATAGCGTAGGGACCCTCATGGGAAAGTCCACGAAATGTGCCATTATTGATGTACTAAAGCCTGGGTTTCGTTGTGGGTGGTATTAGGAGGTTAGATACCTGCTGGGATCTCTGAGTATAATTACACTTGCTAATTTCCCTTTTCAGCTGCACTTTATTTACTGAAAGTAATATATTTACAGAATCACAGAATCTTCTAGGTTGGAAGGGACCTTAAAGATCATCTTGTCCAACCGTCAACTTAACTGACAAAAATAGACACCCGCACAACAAACAAGGAGCATCATCACTAAACCATACCTCCCAGCACTACATCAACCCGTCTTTTACATATGGTAGCTAATGTCAAGATAAACCCTTGGACCTACACGTACCTTAGAACTGGCTGTATGAGATGACCAGACAGAAGGACTGCTCTGACTCTAGAATGAACCTCTAGTTACATTTGTCCAACAGATAGACCTTAGCTGTTAAGGTTTCTCCTTGAAACTCCCCGGAAACAGATTTCTCTACCGGGAAGATCTCTGCTGTCCTTAAGATCATAATCCCATTGCGAGTAGTTCTCCAAGGGTGGATGTTGCAGCCTTGGTCACTGTTTTGCCCTTCTCATGTGTTTTCTTTTAAGGTGTGGGCTGCTTGATGTAGAGCAGAAGATGTGCTGGTGCCTACTCTGGGCTACTTCCTCTAGTTCCTTCCTCAGGCATATTTTGCAACTATAACTTCTCCCTTTTCTGTTTCTTCCAGGGTTTCTGGTATGCACTTAAAGCCATATCTCAAGTTACAGAAGAAAGAGCGATCTCCAGAAATAAGCCAGGACTCCCTGAGGGGGCAACCTATGAGCCATCAGAGATCAGCACAAGAAGAAAAATACACCAACTGCACCAAGCTGAGCGTTTTCCCCAAACCCTCCCTCGTGAGTCCATCTCGAAAGCTTCTGGGGATTATTTATCCGAATACTATGTGCAATATGAGCGGGAAAGGTCCAGCGGATGGCCCGAGCGGGAGGGAGAAGAAGAACGCCCTGTCTGCAACCATCCACCAGGGAGAAGAAGGGGAAGGACCTCTGGATGTCTGGGCTGTGGTGAAACCTGGCAACACCAAGGAGAAGATCGCCTTCTTCGCCGCCCAGCAGTGCGGCACCAACAACCGCCTCGGCTCCATGAAAATCAAAAGCACCTGGGATATCGACGGGAGAACGGCGAAACGCAGGAAAAAATCAGTTGATCTTAAAAAAGCCAAAATCCAACTGGAAAGGATGAGGGAGGCGAGCGCCAGGTGCTCCCAACCGGAGCCGTTCGCCTGTGGCATCGAGCACTGCTCGGTGCATTACGGCAACGACAACGGGGAGGGCGTCTTCCCGGGCCGGTCCCTCTCGGTGATCGAGATGGTGGCCTTTCTGGAGCAACGAGCCAGGGCTTTACTGGTGGACTGTGCTAAAACCTGCTCTCCTGCTTCTACCACCAGGCTGAGCGCTCAGCCTAAAGCTGGGCTTCCCACTTCAGACCCTTTCTCCTCCGCCGGGGCGTGCGAGGTGCACGGGGAGAGGGGACCTTGTGGCCATGGTGAGCAGCAGCAGCAGAGCGAGCCGGTGCGTGTGCTGGACATGGTGGCCAAGTTGGAATCGGAGTGCCTGAAGCGGCAGAGCGAGCGGGAGGCCGGGAGCCTCTCTAGGAACAACAGCTTCCGTAGGAACGTCGGGAGGGTGCTCCTGGCCAACGGCACCCAGCCCGAGGGAGAGGCTGGGAAGGTCTCCTCGGGGGTCTTGGCTCCGGGGGATGGCTTGGAGGAGACGGGGGTGGCAGAAGGTGGGTACGGAGGGCGGTGCGGCCCCCTGGGTGACACCGAGCTGTGGGATGGCGCCGCCTCGGCTCGGCGGCCTTTTCCTTCCGGGCTGGATACTGGGATGGGGAATGTGAATTCGGGACTCGCTCACGCCGTGTTGGCCATAACCACTGGCAGGGGCGAGTCCGAGAGGTGGGGAGACTCTGAGAGGCGGCTCGAGCCCCCCAGACCCCTGCCCTCTGCCTGCCCAGCTGCTGCCAGGTTGCCCCCAGCTTCCTTGCCAGGCAAGAACACCACAGTCGATTGTACGTCGAAAGAGCCTGTCATTTTCCCAAAGCAGAGCCTGCACCCCCCTCGGAAGGAGCCCCTGTGCATCAGTATATCGGTCACCAAGACCGAGAAGGGCTGCAGGAAAGAGCAGCTCTCAAACTCCAGTCCCAGTGAAGATCCCCTCCCAGGGAGGCTGTTTTTCCTCCAGGCCGAGCAGCCCCCTGCTCACGAGCCACAGCCTCCACGGGAGAGTACCCAAGAAAAGCCAGGAGAAGCAGCCCCAAATGAGGATGAGGATCCTTTGGCATCTGACAGATCGCGCATCCAAACCGGTGTCCCTCCAGAGCCATCTGCCCTTTCTGGCCCTCCCCCAGAAGGGGCTTTGCAAGTACTTGATGCTTCCTGCTTAAAAAGGCAGGTTTCGCATGACTTTCTGGAGACCAGGTTTAAAATCCAACAGCTTTTGGAGCCTCAGCAGTACATGGCCTTCCTCCCTCACCACATCATAGTGAAGATTTTCGCTTTGCTCCCCACCAGGAGCCTGGTCGCCCTCAAATGCACTTGCTACTACTTCAAATTCATCATCGAATATTACAACATCAGGCCGGCGGATTCCCGCTGGGTCCGCGACCCCCGCTACAGAGAAGATCCCTGCAAGCAGTGCAAGAAGAAATACGTCAAAGGGGACGTGTCTCTCTGCAGGTGGCATCCCAAACCCTACTGTCAAGCTTTACCTTACGGGCCTGGCTACTGGATGTGCTGCCACCGCTCTCAGAAGGGCATCCCGGGCTGTAAGTTGGGGCTTCACGACAATCACTGGGTCCCCGCCTGCCACAGCTTTAACCGTGCCATCCATAAGAAAACCAGAGGAGGAGGGGGACAAGAGGTGGAAGAGGAGTATTAGTGCACACACACTTTCCCTGCGCCATTATTTCGGGGGTAGGAGGAGATTCTCATGCCTTGTGCTGTTTACAGTGTATATAATTGTCGTGATTTTGGTTGGTTTTTTTTTTTTGTTGGTTTTTTTTTGGTTTGTTGTTTTTTCTTCCCCCCACAGGGCTATGAAACTGCACATATTTCAACACAAGAGCCTTTACCTTTTAGACGAAAGATAGCTTTTAGTCCCATCTATGTAAATAACACTATAAAAAAACTAATTTGTACATACAAAGTCTCCAGCTGGCTGAACAAGGTAATCACTACAATGCAGCTATGATAGTGTTGCGGCTATAGGTGTGTGTGTGTGTGTGTGTGTGTGTGTGTGTGTGTGTGTGTGTGTGTGTGTGTGTGTGTGTGTGTGTGTGTGTGTGTGTGTGTGTGTGTGTGTGTGTGTGTGTGTTTTTAAGCGTCTCGTTTCAAAAAAAAAAATCTGTATATCCTGTATAATATATGAATGTTTCCGAGAAGAAACTCTAAATAGGTAAAGGTCAACTTGTCGAAAGAATCTTCAGACAACCTTCAAACTGGACAACCTTCAAATTTAGACTTAGAGCAGATCCATTCTAGTAGCGTGGCAGTGGAGAAAAAGAGAGGAATATTATTGTATAGTCAGAATATAAAAAGGTTCTTGGCTCCCTTACCCCTGTTGGCTGGTTGGTTTGGTGTTTTGGTTTTTTTTTTTTGGTTTGTTTTTTTTTTTTTTACTTAAATAAAATGTGCATTCTAGATCCGCCTTGCCCCATTTTCTCTTGTAAAACTCTTTCCCCCCCACCCCCAAGAAAAAAATACTGTAAAAAAACGTGTGGCAGAAACTTGGTGCTGTGCTGGAGTTGAGATTCACGCTGTGCTTCCTTGGGGAGAACCAGTCCTCCAAATAAAAAAAGCAACAAATTAAAAACCTGTATTACTTAGAGAACTTTTCTGCTGTAACAGTCATAATTTCCAGCTTTTCCTTTCCCTCCTGTTCTCCGGAAGGATGGTGCTGGGTGTGGAAAAGCAGGGACTCTCTGGTTGGAGTCCTGCTTCTCAGCTCTGGCATCAGCCCCTGGGCCGGGCACTGGATGCCTGAGGATGGAGAGTGGGTCCAGCAGGAGGAAAGTGGAGTTGCCTTGGATCAGTGAAGTTCTGCTGGATGAGGAATTTTTCCCCTCGCAGGAGGCTGGAATCCTGGCAGGAATCCCCTGCTCTGCTGCAGCCTCTTGGTCCCCAGGTATGAGTGGGTGCTTTCCTAGGGAAAGTGTGAACGTTTCCATCAGTAATTCCTCACCCTCTGAATGGGAGCTGTGTGGTGTCCATGGAGTATGTCCTCCAGTGCCTTCCTGTCCTGCAGTGCTGTGTCCCTGAGGTGCAGCCCTCCTTGTGCCCGGCTCCTTGCTGAGGGGTGAACGGTTTGGAAGCTTGGGAATGTCCCCTGGATGCCCCAAGAGCCACCTTCAGCTCCTGGGAGCAGAAGCAGCAGGTGTTTTGCAGCCAAAGAGAGCAGCAGTTGTGTCTGTGTCAAACCAGGCTGCCCAGAGGAGTCTCCTCAGGAGACACTCAAAACCCACCTTGACATTTTCCTGTACAACCTGCTCTGGGTGGACCTGCTTTGGCAGGGGGTTGGACTAGATGATCTCCAGAGGTCCCTTCCAACCCCATGTGATTCTGTGGTTCTGTTTGGATCCCTCCTCTCCCTGCACTTCGTGCTGTGGCTGTTTCTCTGTCCCTTCCCAGAAGAAGGATGGACCTCAGCAGACAAGATCTCAGACGTGGTGCAAGAAGAGCTGGTTCCACCTTCCCTCTGCCCTGCAGCCCTCAGGGGAAGAACCTGGGAAGGGGTGAAGACTCTTCGTGGGAGCATCATCTGGATGGAGCACCCAGCTGGACCTGGTCCTGAGCTTTGGCTGGGCGAGGAGAGCTTCTGGCTGGGCTCAACCACCCACCTCCTGCTTCATCTTTGCCTGGGAGTGCTGGGAGTGACTCATGGTGTTTTCCAAGAGGAGGACAGAGGGTTTGAAGAAACATGCTTTTATTTTATTTATTTACAAGTCTTATGAGGAGAGGCTGAGGGAACTGAGGTTATTCAGCCTGGAGAAGAGGAGGCTGAGGGGAGACCTTATTGCTCTCTCCAACTCCCTGAAAGGAGGGTGTAGCCAGGGGGGGGTCGGTCTCTTTTCTCAAGTCACAGGCGACAGGACAAGAGGAAATGGCCTCAAGTTACGCCAGGGGAGGTTCAGGCTGGATATTAGGAAAAATTTTTTCACCGAAAGGGTTCTCAGCCATTGGAATGGGCTGCCCAGGGAGGTGGTTGAGGTACGATCCCTGGATGTGTTCAAAAGACGGGTTGATGTAGTGCTGGGAGGTATGGTTTAGTGATGATGCTCCTTGTTTGTTGTGTGGGTGTCTATTTTTGTCAGTGAGGTTGACGGTTGGACAAGATGATCTTTAAGGTCCCTTCCAACCTAGAAGATTCTGTGATTCTCTCCACCGACAGCGAGAGAAAGAAACCCAAGCCCCAAGTGAGGAAACAGGAGGGTGTTCAAGGTAGATTTTTTAAAAAGGCTGCTATTTATTACCCCCCTCCCCAGGTCCAGCATTACCTGCTCTACCCCCCCGGCGTGGCTCGGCCACCTCTGCGATGCCGCTGATGTTATTCCAAGCAGGAGGAACGAAATCAGGAATCTTTAAAAGAGGGTGGGGCTGCCTCGTAATCAACCCTGAGGAGGGAGAGGAAAAGCAGGATCCCTCATTAACTCCTGACTTGGTTCTCTTTTAACGGGGCGCAGGCTTCCCCGGAGCTTCACCCCACTGGGACCGGCCGCCAAACAGCTTTCTGGAAGGAGTTGTCTCACCGGAGCCATCAAAGGCTCTTCCAGCTTAATTTCAATTAAGGAAGGGGGGGTGGAGGGGGGGAAGAAACAGCTTTTCTGCCCCCACCCAAGGCTCTGGAAAAGCTGAGATAACGGGGCCGAGGGCGGCGAGGGAAGTCCCTGCCGGGCTGAAATAGAAGAAGCAGCCGAGGAAAATATTTTGTAAGGAGATAAGGGGCCAGTGAGGTCATTTATTTTTGTTTTTGGGGGGGAACAGAGTGTGAGATTTTGGTCTCCTTCGTTGAACAAGGAGAAAAATAAGACGAAAATAATAGCACGGGCTTGTTTTGTTCCTGGGAGCAGTTAAATTCCAAGAACAAATTGCTCTTCACTGTGCCCCATTTCCCTCCTCCCCCCCCCCCACA